GAAGAAGGAACGAGAACTCGTCGCGCGACGACGGCTATTTGTCCGCGTAGTGAATCGAAAATGGCCTTCTCCACTCCCCTCCCCTCCCCTCCCCCTCTTTATCTTCGTTTTTACGAGCACGGCCACGCTGTTACTTTTATTCACCGGCGTTTAATGAGTTTTCTCGAACGATTCGCTCGGCTGTGAAACACTATTTGACAATCCGACCGTTCTTTTTTCTTTTTCTCTCTCTTTCTCTTCTTCTTCTTCTTCTTCCTCTCCGTTCGTTTTCCAGGATTGGAACAGAGACGGAGAGATAAGGGGAACACGAGCTCGTATCTCCGCTGCTCTGTCTATCGTTCGTTAAACTTCTTCTCGCGTTTCTTTTTTTTCACTTCTTGTTAACGTTGCGCGTTTCCGTCTCTGCTCCAACGAGAAAATTATCTCTCTGTCTCGGTTTATCCGACATCGGTTGTTGCAAGAATTCCGCCACGAAGTTGAAGTTACGCGAGCGTTGTCAATCACGCGACATTTCAATTATCGCTTCTTGTCTTTTTTTTCTTTTTTTCTTTTCGCTCGCCGTATATCTTATTTGTATAAATTATTTGAATCGATATGTAATAACGATATAATCGATTCGAACGTTGAGAGTCGACTTTTTAGAAATGATCGTTTGTAGAAATATCTAACAATGCGAAAGAGAAATTAAATTAATATTTAAGTAAAATTGTATATCTCTGCTATATCATGCCATTTGTATTTCAAACAAAATTTGTTTGTTCCTCGCGATTCCATCGTTGATAATCGAGCGTAGGATCGGTCGATCGAATTTCTTGCTGGGCCGATAATCGATCTCTTCTTCTCGATCGTTCGTAACTGTCGAGGGAAAACGCGGGGGAAAAACGGGAGTGGCACTGAACGGTATCTCGAGGAGATCGCGGAAAGAAACTCAATGCTGTCGACCATTAATTTAAATTAATAATCGATCGAATAAATTATTGAAAAGAATTATACGATCGTAAATTATTTCGATAAATGTCTTTCGTTCAAAACTAAGTAAATTTATAAACTAACAATAAATTCAATCCGTATAAATTAAAATTTATTAAATTCAACTTGAAATTATCACAACTCTCTATATATTATCTTCCTCGATAGAAATTATATGTTAAAATATCGAATTTCAATATCGACACTAATATTACACGAAAATTATATATCTAAATGCTCCGTTACCTCGAATTCCCACCTCTCTGGTAGACCAGATTTTTCACGTTCCGCTCGTGCAACCGCGTCTCACCTGTTGCACGTCCTCCAACTCGAAAGAAACTTTCGTTTCGAAGGGAAGGGAAGATTCTTTGGAGAAGAATCATCGACCAATCGATCGAACGTTCGTTCGAATTTCGCGAGATCGTGTTGACCGCGTCGTCGTTCGCTTCTCCCGCGGAAACGTCGTTGGACGGATAGAAAAAGAGGAAAGAGAACTCCTGTTGGAATGGAATGAGGAAACTGCGGAAGGAGGAGGAAGTCTCGGGTGTCGCCCGACGGCTCGGTCGGTCCACGCGTCGACACGGTTGCGCGCTCGAGGCTCGAACCTTCGTGTTTGAGATTTTCGAAATTTAGAAAAATTATGCGCTTGTCAAGTAATGACAACTCAAGTATCGATAATTTTATTCCTTTCGACGATTTCCGTCTCCTTTCGTCGAGTGAAATTTTCAACGAGTAGAAATAAATGGCGCAAACTTATTATATTAAAAAGGATCGAGTGGATTGTTGTTGGAAATGAAGGAAAGGCGATAATCGAAGGAATCGATCACGATCACTGCGTTTCTAGAACGAGAAACTAAAAAATTGAATGAAAAACTCTTTAAATCGATAATTTTAATGGATTATTAAAATTTAAGTAAAGTACTTTTACTCAACGAATAGCAGAAAAAGGAATACTACGTTTCCCTCGTCGCATAAGGCACGATAATTCCATAGAAACCGCCAACGCATAACTTCTGCAAGAATCCAGGCATCATCTGGATGGCTACAATTTGCCAAGCACAATTTTATTCATTTTCTCTCGAGATCTTCTCTCCTAGCTTTCATTATTCCTCGTATCAACACACAGAAACGATCAAACGAGACCACCCCTCCATCCTGATGATTTTTTAATATCCCAAATCATCCCCTTCCCCCACCAAAAAATTAACCTTTCCTCGAAACGATTTATAATCCAATCACGGATCTCTTCATTTAATCCTTTCGAAAACGATGCGATCTACAGCGGTTTGTCCAGCAACGGGTAGAAGATTTTCAGGAGGAAAGACGATTAGGGGCCTGGAGGGGCACAAAGCTTCGCGAAAGCCGGCATATTTTCCTCGCCGCTTTCAGCCGATAACGGAACACGTAATGATAGGAAATTTTTGGCGCGCTCGATCGCCTAAATCGTTTCGTCGAATGAAGAATGGGAGCCTTTATTTTGACTTTATTTCACGCTGTTTTTCTTCTTTTTTTCTTAAGTATTTTATCAGGCTTTCAGAGGGGATTAATTCGAATTGTACGAATGGAATTTATTTATGAATTACGTAGATGTTTATATTCGTCGTGTCTGTTATCGTGAATACGAATACTTTTTTATTTCTAGTACTTTGGTCGAACGAAAAAGTAGAAAAGTAACTTGCATTTAATTGTACCTCAGTTGACGGATGAGGTGTAATGACGGTTTTAATTGAACGTTATCGAGCGAGAAAAATTCGATTTTCAAAGAATTAACGAAAGGATATGTTTATTTTGCCAAGCGAAAAAAGAAGAAAAAAAAAAAAGTGAGATCGCGCATTTTCCTTATCCTTTTCCGATTCAGACGGCCATAACTCTTCCACTCCCCTGTGTTAACAGTTTCCTTTATTACGAATAAAATTTATACGCTTATCGTAATACCATCCAGTACACCATGCATAATCTTTTCGAGATAGACGCGCAATAAATACAAGTTGAAGTCGAATTTAAGTAGAAACTTCCTTTATATCTGACGTACAACGTTTAAGTTAATATCTACTCTTTATTTCTCGTTTAATCGTCGAAAAGCGATCTAATAATAAATCTTAAAGCTGCGCTTGCCTGAAGTTGAAGAAGCGGCGGAAATGAAAAAAAAAAAGAAAAAAAATCTAATTGATTCAATGAAATGAAATTCATCCAGTTAACATTTTCGATCATTCGCAACTTGAGGAAGAATACTCATCGTGATTCTCCCATCTTCTCCCACCTTATTTTTCTTTATTAATATCTTATCTATTTTCCGCGTTTCTATTAATACCCTGTTATCTTATCTACGATCGAATGAAAAAAGATAATCGTGCAAGAAAAATGGTACTCGCTTAACAACCGAAGAATATTTCTCTCTTCAGAAATATTATCCTTTACAAATAAAATATTACAAATCGTGCTTGAATACGAATACTTGTTCAAATCAGATTGAAAAACAAATTTTCTCGCTTCTTCTCCCATACGAATTCGCCGAATTGGAGAGGGACGATTCGTGGGAAGAAGATATTCTCTCGCGGCGAGGCGAGTGGTTCGGGGATGCAGACGAATGGCGGAATCGAAGGAGGGACTCGGCTCAAGGTCGTCCAAGGTCGTTCGACAGGAGCAAGCACCTTGGGTTATGGAAACACTCGACCGGCAAACTGGTCTCCCCACACACACACACACACGCACGAAAAGAAGGAGAGTAACGCGGTCTCTGGAAATCTGTTGTCTCTCCCTCCTCCTCCTCCTCCTTCTGAATGGCGCTCATTCGTTGCCGACGAATGATGATGCGAGAAAGAAGGAGAAAGAACCACGAGTTCGAAGGTTTATAACAATTTGTTCTTTCTCCTCGATAAAATTCATTATTTGCACGATGTTCTTACGTATGAGGTTTGGCAAGGGAAAATTTTCGATGACAAGATTTCGATTATCAGATCGATTCAATCGATATCGAACATTTATACGAAGATGTTATTTTTTTTTTTTTCTCACTCAAAAATCTTCTACCAGACACTTCGATGATTCTGTCATACCCTACTTCGTTCAACATCGAGCCAAGACACGAATTGTAGAATTAAATTTCAAGGAGAAGGAATGCGAAAGAACGTGCAACGAGGGATCTCTCGATAGTTAAATGGCCAGGCCACAAATTGGCAAAGAAAACTTACTTCAACTAACTGGCCGTTGTGAGGTACGGTTAGTTTAATGGGCTGCTGGCGACTTCCGTGTTTTTCACCCGTGTATTATTCGCCCAAAATCAATTCTTAATTCCCACAGCATTAATCTCGAACCTTGATCCCTCAACTCGTTTTCATCGTATATATTTATTCGTTCATCCCGAGGAAAAAAGCAACAATTATAATCCCTCCTCGATGAAAGCAGATCTCCCTTTTCAACGAGCATTTCCCCGGGTAATAATGATAAAACAGAGATCCGATCCTCGTGCATATCGTCGAGGCTCTGTTCACGCACGAACGGGCACCGTAAGAAGCGCGAAAGAAAATCGGTGCAAGGATTGGAATCCGGTCGGGCCCGCGTCACGCTCGACACGACGGTGTATCGGTGTACCCTCCCCCCACTATTTTTTCCGCCTTGCATATTGCTGTCGTCCGCCCCCTCCCCGTGACCGCGGTCGACCAGCCATTACGCAGGCGGAAGGACGGATGAAATAACCTGATTCGACGATTTGTTATCGGTCGTGGAATTATTTTTCCTTCGAGGAGGAGGAAGTCCTCCGCGGAGTGTAACGGTAGCGTGGCTTTTATTACGTGTGCAGAGAACGTGTCTCTTATTTATAATATAGATCGAATTTCCTTTGAACGTGTTAAAACAGGTATAAATAGAAATTAATTTTAACGTGTTAATCGAGGGACGCGAGTATACATATATATATATATTTTTTTTTTAAGGCGATTTTTTGTTCGTTCTCTAACGGGGGTATAATAATGATAATTGAAGTGGATGAAGAGATCTGGAGGATGTGCTTGAATCGAGATATGCGAGATTTTCTTCTTTTGTATTTCAATGAGTATCGCGAGGTTTTTGTACGTTCAAGTTTTTTTCACAAATATCTTTGGTCTAACAATGATGTTGGAGTTTGATTATTGTAACGAGGCAGGGATTCTCAAAGTATATGGAGTAGTAAGCTTTAATTACGGGTATCCCTTCTCTTTTCCAAAAAGTGTCTTGATCCACGAAAATTTAAGACAATCGTTCGGGAAAATTATTGTGTTTCGTTTATTACAAGTCTCTAAAACCTTCAACCTATCATATCGCACGTATTTTCCAAGAGTCACCATTTATTTGAAAAATTCGATAAACAAATTATCGGAATCAAGTTAACTGCATATCGTTAATTTTTTCCAAGAGTTATCATTTATTTGAAAAATTCGCATAATTTATCGTGTAAAAACTATCACGCGATTAATTCGACTAATTTGAACGAGACTTGAAGCAATCGACGAATAACTTCGTCCGAGTGGTGGAAGGAATTTCTCCAAGACCTCCCCGTCGATCTGGATATAATAAAGCCAGGTTTTCAAAGGAAAACCGTTCACTTCACGATCTCGAATGGGCAGTGGCCAGCGATTTATATATACGGAATCGGCGGGAAGATTTATGCGACGCGAGGAGCGTGTAATATCGCGAATACGTCGAATACCTTTACCCATAGAATCGAGCGTCGATCGATCATGATCGAGGGACGATTATATTTAAACGAGAATAAAAGTTTTGTGCGATATAATTTTGAATGTTTGAGGTATTTGTATTTATGATTCATAACTATGTGGATATAATAAGCATTGGTAATATATATATTATAAATTAATGAATAGAAGAATATATATTATAATAATGAATAAGTGTTATAGCACAGGATTATATTAACTCTTTGATATTCTTCCATCTGATAAATTAACGAATAAAAGTTTGGATAAATATCGTATGGAGAGTAAATTTTAGCGTTAAACAGTGATGTTTCAACTTGTTTAGGGATTTATTTGTACGTTAAAAAAAATCGAACGAGAAATATAACATGCAAGGAAGGAGCATCGAAAAGAAAAGGAAAATCTTAACCCTTTTTTTTTTTACCTAAAAGCAAAAGCAATAATAAGCAGGGTCTCGACAAAATATGAAACACCGCGAGAAACACGATCTTTTTTCCAAAACTTTTGAAACGACTGTTTTGGTCCCAGTATAATAATACTAACAAGAATTTAAAATTGTAATATAAAATGTATCGTAATGTAAGAAATTCAGTGTTTATAAATATATGTATAATATAATTGCATTAAAAAATTACAACGTCGAGTCAAACTCGCCATTGTTAGTTGGTGCAAGAAAGCAAGCCAAGTCTCAAGTGTTATTCGAGTTCTCCAGTTTTTCGTATTTCCGCAACAATGAATCCCAAAGGCGGCGGCGCGCTCAAAGGTAATCCGCCTCGTTATCTCGACTCCACTCTATCCGTGTTCAACTGTAACAACAAAAGAATCCCCCCTGTCGATTATTATTCCTCTCGAGAGGAACGAAGAGACGGCGATTTTTGCTCGCCGCGTTACGATTCGGGAAGCGAAACGAGGAGGAGGGGAAATACGGTACACCGTCGTGGTCTGGTGTCACGCGAGTATTTATCCGCTCAAAAAGTCGCCCCGCCATCCGGCTCGCCACTCGTGTTTACACGCTTTTTCCTTTCGCCTCTTCTTCCTTCTTCCTCTTCCGCCGCTTCCACACGTGTTCGCCAAAACTCGATGTAACTTTTTTTCTCATCTCCACGAAATGGATAATTCTTCCGATAATCAATCTTGATTCGAAGAATGTTTGTTGGATTATAACGTTCAAATCTACGATATTGCGAATCGAATTTAAGGAATAATATGAAAGAGGATTAAAGAATAATCTATTAATTATTGCAAGAATTATTCGAAACTTCATTTACCAATCAAATCTATCTCTTTGAAAAGGAAAATTTTCGTTTCGATAAACGAGAAAAACGATACGTCTCTTTCGCCCACGGTCGACCCGAGCCGACAAGTTAAATTGGCATGACCGGTGTCCACGCTTTTTTTCCTCCCTCCCTGTCTCTGTCTCGAGATCGTAGCTGCGGAACACCGCGTCTTCCGTATCGCGGTTTAATTGCGACCACGGTCCCGTTTTTTGCAGTACTTTTATTAATTGAGGGAAACAGAGGGCCCGAGCTGAGACGAGGAGAGGACAATAAGCGGATAAGAGCCAAACTCTTCGAGGTTACGGTACTTTCCTCTTCGTCCTCGTTGCGTGATGAGCTTTTTCTTCTTCCTTTTTTTTTTTATTCTTGTCGTTATCAGGGATTGCAGAAGGATCGTTTATGCGAAGATTTCTTGAAAAACTCGATACTCGTTCGTTTGAATATACGATTAAAATAAAAGAAATTGTTATATAGTATAGGAGGGGAGTTTTGCGACACGAATAATTCTCTTTCGTTTATTTAACAAAAAAAAAAAAAAAAAAAGAAAAGAATACTAATTGATCAAACTCGATGGTTGGAAAAGAAGTTGAGGATCGAAGGAGCGGAGAACCCGCAGCCAGAGGAACGCGCGGCTAATGAAGTTCAAGGTATATTAGATGCTAATTGGTCTGACCGTGGCACCGAGCTATGAGAACGTTCTCTCCTTCCATTGTTGTTATCCGATCCGGCAAAACTCGACTCCTCGCAAAACTATTGACTCACGCCTCCTTCCTTACCGACCAAGCCTCCCAATCGATCCAGCGAAGAGGCAAACTCAAATTTCCAAATAACTCGCTTCGCCGAATATGCAATCGAAGCCGAATATTTTTCCAAATATTTTTATTTCGTTTCTTTTCACGAGGAGAGCCACCCCTCGAGAAAGAAGCCTGGTCATGATGGCAAAAAGAAATTTACAACTTTCGCACGGAAAGTTTCCGTTGCCGGTTTTGCGCAGCTCGATTGTCTCGTAATCGCACGGGGATCTGAATAATTTGGTCGCACGCCCTTGCGGTTTCCAACACCGACGATTAACCGTGGCGACGGTGCTTTCTTTCGACATAACTTTTTCATCGCACGCGTGTAAATAACCTCTCCATTTTTTGCTCCGAGTTTTATTACCCTCTACCTGGAATATTCGAAATTGTTACGATGTGGTTTCTTTCTCCTTTTTTTGCGCTCGTAACTCTGTGTATAATTCTTTCGTGTGTCGATGGACTTGTAGAAATGCGATATATATATACCAAAGTATTATTCAAGATTAATTCGAGGATGTATCGGAAAAGAGCTCGACTCTGTCTTAGTCGAACGAATTGTAACTTCGTTTAAACACGTGCGGTTGCATTATGAAGCCGGAGGTCGGCCGTTTCCATTTAATGGAGAGCCGATCTCTCAAGCCAGCTGCCCCTCCTTCCTTTGACTCGGTGTAAACGACCTTAAGCCAATCCTCCCCTGCTCGCGCATTTTCTACCGATTTCCTT